TTTTTTTGGAGATTTCAAAATAACTATTTTATAGATAGTTTTAAAGCAAAATTTTAATGCTATGAACTTTCATTTTAATTCAGAATTTTGAAGTTTGTTAAGTTTATTGATAATATTGTTTCAATTGTTATTGTTTTTTATTTAAAATTTTTATAAATTTTTACTATGCAATACATTAGTTTAAAAATATTCAAATGACTTACTTTTTTTATATTATTAAATATAAAGATAAAATTTTTGCTAGCATATTAATAAATCTAAATTAGAATTATTGGATTATAGTCATTTCAGTGATATTTATTTGCTTAAACATTAATAAATTTCATGAAAAAAAGTCAATACTGTAATAAATTTGCTAGTATGAAAAAATACAGTTACTTTTGTTCTTTTTTTTAAATAACATTGACCACTGATACTATAGAAAAAGCAAAAAATGTTATATTTTAACAAACTTCAAAAAGCTGTAGCATTTAATGGCTGAATGAAAATAAAAGTTTTCTTTATAAAATTTTAGTTATTACATTTAATCATACCACTGTCAGTTTTAATGATCATTCTGCTGACAACATTATCTCTTGGTCCCCTTCTCTAGGTCATCCCTTAGACTAAAGCGTAATCGTTGTTAAGTTTAACGCGTAATCCAATTGGGCGCACAGGTTGTTAAGAAAAAAAACAAACAAACGAAAGTTATAATTTTTCGACAAACAACAACGAATTGTGGTGAGGTGAAACGTACCAGTTTGATTAATTATCGTAGATAAATGTCATATATTAGGCACACGTATTTTGAGTTGCCGTTTTCGGCTATTCTTACCGTTATATATATAACAAATAAATTTGAGTCGTAGAAAGACGACGTAAAGATTTCCGTGAAGGAAAAACAATAAGCAAATAACAAAAACGAAAGGCGCACAAAACTTAAGCGTAGAATGAAAGGGGTACACCAAAAGAAAAGAGAAAAGTATCAGACCAACTAGTCGTGGCTAACGTCGGAAACCAAACAGAACGCAATATCAGTAATCCATATTCGGCGGCGGAATTATCACAGTGTCAAGGGCGGGGAGACAACCGATGACAACCGATTGTCATATTAATAGCTGGACGGCTGATATCGAGAGAGACACGG